TTGTGTGTGGAATGCATTGTCGAATGGTTAAATTTCAGAGCAGAAGCTGAGTTTCACATAAATAAATCATTTCACTAGCAACCAATGAACCTACGGCAAGTTGCACTGCATGCCAGACGGAAACAAAAAGAGCAAAAGGTCTTATCTCGCGTTCGAGATACATATTACCTTTCCGCAGAAGCATACGGTTTTCTCTGCCACCGCCGATCCTTAAGGGATCGACGCGTTAAAAGTATGCGCGCTATCAGCTGGAGTTTATATTCTCGCTGCTGATGCTGCTGCTTTTGCTACTTTTTATATACGTTTTACCACCACGCGGGCGAGAACGAGCAGCCTCTGCGCGCGTAAGACCAATACATGAGACCCTTGAGACTCTGCTGTGCTCGCGTCGACCGAGTCTACGTCGCCGTCATCGTCTTTTTGTACTTTACACACGTGCCGAGCATCAAGCTCTTGTGCCATCAGGAAATTTTTTGTGTTCTACCTCGGGAACGGCAGCAGCAGCATACATACGCTTTATGGATGCGTGGGACACGTAAGTATATTTTCGTCCGCGGCTTTTTCCCAAAGACGTTGATGGATTTTTTTGGTTACGTCGTGCGCGCTCCACGATGCACCTTGTCTTCTAGAAAAAAATCCATGTATACATGTACACAAATGCGCTCGTACGGAGGCTGCTGCGGGTATTTTTTCAACGCGCGATACTTACGCAGCTTGCTCGCTCGCGTGTATTATAATGTTGCGAAAAAGAAAGGCGCACACGCGGCTGCACTCGCGAGCTCCGCGTATCGCTGCGCTTTTTGTCGCAAACGTATCATTTGAATTAATTTTACAACCAGCGATAAAAGTAAACGCGCGCGTGCACAAAGATATCCACGCGCGCAGTACGCAATGCACATAAATATAAAGATCGAAAGCTCGTTGCCAAGTAAAATATTGTTTACACGCGGGGCCAGGATCATCGTAAAGCCGCTCGCAAATAAGGCCTGATGCGAAGACGACGACGACGACGACGAAGACGACGACGACGACGACGACGACAACGACAATCGTGTATTTATGGCATCCGATTACGTTGTCAGATCTGGTACCTATACGCGATCGCTGCTGCTGCTGCAGCGTGATCCTTTTTTCTCGTTTTATTGCACTTAAGTATATAGAGCTTCGATCGCGTGCGCAACTCGAGCAAATGAAAAAAATAAGAAAGAGGCATCACTCGGCAAAGGTGGTGGTGGGCCTTTGTTGTTGTTCACTAAATTTCGCGAAAGGAAAATTGCGTACTTATTTTTTGGGCCCAACTCTTACGGGGATTATCTCCTTCTGCGGATCAGTCGAGAATAAAATGCCCCGAGTTATTTTAATGTATGTGCTCAGTACCACGTAAGAAGGATAATCAAAATAATGGCGATAAATGAAAGCCTCGCGACCAATGTTATTATATCCCAGAAAGAATATTCTTGCGTTTTACCCGATAACATTATATAAATATGCGAATTTTACGAAAAAATCGTAATAAATGTAATTTGGCGTGTAACAACAGCCCCGATGACATTTAGCTCGAAGGTGAAAATGTCCAGCGAAAAAAAGAGAGGATGTTCTTACAGATTTCCTCATGAAGTTCAAAAATAAAAATTGTAGCAAATAAAACGAAGATCAAAAGCCATGGTTTTTGATTTGGCTAAAAAGTAAAAGCAAAAGTGAAGATAGATAGGATTTTTGCCGAAAGAATACCTATAATGGCTTTTAGTTTAACTTTATGCCTTTTACCTTTCTCCATATTATGTACCACCAGCGGCGTCGCAGCTTACGTCTCCCTCCTGTATGCCGAAATATTTTGCTCGTGCCTTGTAATAGCTGTGTAGCCAACGGCGTGGATCCATAGGTCGTCGATAGATCGTCGGGTCCAGGTAATTGTCAGCGTGTACTTTTAACGCAGGTGCGTTATATAGTCTGCTGCGGGTCAATTATGGTATATACCTTTGCGCGAGGCAAGGTAAGAAACGACAAGTCGATGATGGCCTCGTTTTATGATGGATGTATGGGGCTTGTGCGGGAGTACATCGACGTTTTCCTTTGCAGTTTTGTGCATAAGGAGTAATAATGTCGGCTCGAAGTGTATAATATAAATTTGACTGGCTCGAGTCGTCTGGTGTACATATAAACGTGATGATTAATGGAAGCTCGATATAATTTGTATATGCACCATTTGAGAATCGCGCGCGAGGTATGATTGATTGTCTACTCGGTAGTGTTACAACTGTTGCAACGGACGTGTTTATATTATACTCTCGACGCTCTATTCTTTTTATGCAGATTTTCACTCGCAGAAAAAAAGATAATTATATGGATTGAACCAGTTTTTCAAGATGATTAATCACACGCGTTTATAAGCTTATTCTTGATGTTAGGGGTAAGTTTGCATTAGAAGTAAAAATCGTTTGAACAGATCGTTACCGTCAAATCGTAGTGATCGTTTCCAATAGAGGATAAATTGTAAGGAAATAATAGATGCGATTCATATTACAATGAAACCCATCTTTAATTTTGATTCAATAAGCACACGCATACACACATAAAAAAGACAAGAACAAAGTGAGATATAAGTATCAATAGACGATGTCAAAGTAGTAATGAATGGTCTTTGTTACTTAGCGATAAGCACTTTATGAATATTGATCTGGATTAAAAATGAAAGCACTAGATTATTATCTTTTGGGCATTTGCTCTACGTCATACTATGTAAACACAGTTCGAGTTCATTTAATATTTATTCAAATATAACATTATTATAATAAATAGAAATACATTTTTTTGATAAAAATTGTATTTGACGTTATTCTGTGAATTGAGAATACATTTTTTGGTTTAGATATTTTCAAAGTATTTCAAATCTGTCCTACTTCATTATTATTCAGAATATTAAAACATATTCTTCTATTACTGACATTTATTAAAAATATAAATTGAAAACAAAATTAAATTGAATACGAGATAAATTGGCATTTCTGCACGATGGGTCAAAAGAATATAAAATTTTTAAAATGTGGACAAATTTAATGATGTTGATTTATTATCGCTTGTCACAAGGGCTCAAAATCTCACGAAGTTGCCACTGACGCACCTCACTTGCCGCTTTAAAAATTTGAAATTGAGGAAGGTAGGTAGAATTTCAAAAAATCAGCCTGGTGGGCATGATTCAATTTATTTAATTTCGTGCCTCAAACTAAATGTAAGAAGTGCTAAAGTGTAAAATAGGTTCTCGTCAATGAGTAGATTTATGTACGGTCGTTTTATCGTTCCACAGCATGCTTCGTTTTTAAGAAATTTTTTTCTTCATTTTTCGATTGATTTGGCTGAAATAATTTTAAAAAATGTTTATCTATATTCAAATATTTTCAATTCATTTTTTCCTATAACATGCACTTAATGAAAAGATTGGTTAGACTTATATGCGCTTCATTAGATTTTGAACTGAATTTGGCACGGGATATTTGAGACGGTTCAAGTGGTGCATTTTGACGCTTGAAAATACAATGACATACTAACCCTCAGGCTCCAAAAAGATATGATTTGTGATCATTTTTTTTCATCTCTTATACTTTGAGGATTTGCTTCTGAGCTTTTGCCCTTCCATTTGAATTTATTGCTGCGCTTAAAAACTCGCATGCAGATGACGTGTAGGAAGATTTAAGGTGCATCGATGAAAATTTATAAGCCGTCATTAGACATGAGTTTGAAATATTTGCTACTTACACCATGTTTAATTTTTGTTTTTCTATTCCTATTGGTTGTTTTATTTGTTTTCTTTTGCTTCGTGAATCTTTTTGTTCATTTAAAGAGGTACGTAAAAATCAATGTAAAATTTACAACTGCTGAAATTAAACGTATATAGAAATTTTCAAATCAAAACTTGAAATACCTGCATTCTAAAATTATTGCTAATGGCTTCGAGATTTTTTTCAAGTTTTTCAAGTTTCATTCATTGCTGGTATTTATCAATGTTTATAACTTCTGCATCTTTCCACCTAAAAGAATGTAATTTAAAAAACTTTTCAAATTTAAATAATTTAAAGTGAGCTTCAGGTCCATCTGATTTTTTAAAATCAAACTTAAAGATGAGACTCGCGAAATTTAAATGTGCGTGACAGGAGGACGAGAAGGAGGCTGTCTCGCTTTTTTAGTTTAAAACACAGGGTTTGAATTTCTCTTCGGACCTTAAAGCTGCGACCACGAGGGAGACGCGTATTTGTCCGAATGTCAGGCAGGTACAACAGTATATCATCATGTTTTACCTCACGCAGGTGTGCGGTAAGTATTTACAGATATGCGCGTGGCTTGATTGCACGGTCGAATTCTTTTTACATGTCTCTATATATCAGCATAAATAGATAAATTTTGTAAAACCGACTTTTCATTGACAATATTACACGAATGACTAACTATAGATACATAAGTAAGTGTATAATTAGCAGAGAGTCATTTCCTTTGTTCTTCGAACAGTCTTGCACGAGAGTATAGTGATTTTCGGCGAGTGCAATCTTGAAGAAGAGCAAGTGTGGCGAAGAAAGACGAGTGCATACTCTCGAATCCCCCCGGAGGGTTAAATAATCGTCTTTACCGTGTGCGCGTGCCTCAATTTCACGGTCTTACTGCGCAAAATAAAAAAAAGAAAAAGTAAGCTGCGAGCCCAAAAAGTCCCCTGGAGGCCACTCGAAAATCTGCAATTTCCAAAAATGCCAACTACCATGCGAAGGCGGAAATTACAGGCTGCAATTGTATAGCTCGTATACGATAGGCCCTGACCACGTCGATGCACAATGTCTCTCGTGCGCTATCGATATAAATTGTTGTTTGGTGACGCCAGCTTAATATGCCGAAGTCGAAGTATGTGTAGACATTTTAAAGAAATTCTTATAAGATTTGTATGTATTCTGTTTTTAAGTAACAATTTTATTTATTACAGAGACGTTAAAATTAAAGAAATGGCTTTCTCATGCTGCTTAGGGTAGCTTGGACTGAAAAATTAATATAATTATTAAAATTTCAAATTCTGTGTTAAGCAATATCTTAATAAATAATGCAGTACCTCTTTGTGAATAGCAAGAATACCATCTTGCTCGTCTTTAAATATCTTGATATTAGCCATTCGGTTATGATCAACGTAAATCGTCTTTCCAGTGCATCTGTATCCTGATTTTCTTCCACTTATTACATCACAATACCGACCAGTTGGCATTCCAGTATAAATGTATACGTTTAAATCTACACCGAATTCTCCGTTAAATGCTACGAAACCTAATTCACCCCTTGAAAAAGCTGAAAGAAGTGATGAAATTAATAAATTATTGCACTTGTTACGCGAGAAGTATTTTTTTCAAAAGAATCTAAAAATTATTCTACCAATTTGGTTATGATTATTTGTCCACCAGTTCAAGAATGGGGCATCGCCAACAACATTGCGAAAACCTATCATTTGATAAATTTGTCGCCAACGATGTTCACAAACCCATCCATTTTCACACATATTTACATCCTTTCCGTCTGTTACATTATTGACGATCGGTTTTGGAGATATAATTTCACCTTTGGAGTTGCATGGTGGACCTTGATTGAAATTGTTAAATTCAAAAGAACTCATTACGCGAGTTTGACCATATGGATGAGCCAATAAAAAGGCAACGGCCATCTATAATTAATGTTATAAAAATTAAATGTCTAGTGTTGAAATATAATTTAAAAAAAGCAAAAATACTTGATACATACCTTATGAAGTCTTGGATTCTTGTGGGTTGTTTGAGCATTCGCATCACGTTGACTGTCATGACTTTCCGTGAATACAAATGCATCATTAGAATGCATCAAACCAAAAGTAGGCAATCCCCAAAATCGAAGGCCGCTCAATGGCTTGCTGCCTCGGAAAAATTCCTCGAGGTGATATTTGTTGGTGTACTCGTATACTTTGCCTAAATAAGCGTACTGCCATTTGTTCGAAGCTGACGAAGGCCCGCTGGCAACCTCTTGATAAATAAAAGGTCGTTTGCCGTAACCAAAAACACTTGGTTCCAAATCGTTCATTCGTTCGTAAATTACTTCAAGATCTTCGGGCCACATGTGCTTGGCTGCATCGACTCTGAATCATTCGTAATGAATCGTTAAAGATATCATGATTGTATATTAACAATGCAAATGAAACAGTGAAATTTCTCTGGCAGAAATACTCAACATTAATAACGCCCTCATCATAAAAAATTTTCATTTAAAATGCTCAATAGTATATTGCCATTGTTGGCTTGTTCTTGGCGATTTTTCTGTTACAATCATGCTAATAGTATTGAGCGAATTTAAAATAACCCGATTATAATAATTTAATCATTCAAAAACTTTAGATAACTTTTCAATTACTTTAAAAATGGAGTACGATAATACCACTCTAGACCTTTACCACTAGATGGCGAGTACCTTTATCTGCCAATCTGAAAGTGGCAAAGTAAAAATGATTATATAAATCCAACACGATTTGATTTATTTTCAATCGGTTTCGGGTTTTTTCAAGAAAAGTTTTCGCTGGCCATAAGTTTGCCATTAAATGTTGAGCATTTCTACTAGGGCCTTTACCTAAAACCAGCAACTCCAGTGTCAATGGCATGATTCAAGAACTCGACGATTTTGTTTCTAACGTTCTCTTTACGTTGATTGAGATCGTGCAAGCCGACGAGTTCGCAGTCGCGAGCTTTGTGCAGAGTCGAGTCGTCGCTGTCGCAGACCGGCCAATTATAATCGTCGGCCGTGTAGGGCACGGCGGGAAACTCGCGCTTTTCGGGCTGCGCAGTCGATCCATCCGTACCAATGCACTTACCCGGAGCGTCAGCCGTCATGTGGTTGATCACGGCGTCGACGTAAATCCGCACACCGACTCTGTTGCATCTCGCAACCATATCTCTCAAATCGTCTTCGTTACCGGATCGGGTTACAAATCGGTACGATATCGGTTGATAACGTTCATACCACGGCCGGCCAGCAATTATAATATTTTCGGTGATTGGGGAAACCTGTGCGATATTCGTCCTCAATGTTAGATAAGTTTATTCAACATGAAAGAAGAAAAAAAATTAATGAAAAATTACTTACCTGTACACCACCGAATCCCATTGGTCCCAAAAATCGTTCGCATTCTGTAGCGATATCTTTCCACTTCCATTCGAATAGATGCACGATCGTCGTTCTGTTACCCTCGAAATGAGGATTTTTGTATGCTTGTGAGTCGTAACATTGCACGGAATTCAGTTGCAGTAGCACTAAAACGGCGATTTGCACGCCTATAATACTTTGGATTTTGCACATTTCACTGAAACATTAAGTGCCCTTGCCTATTGTATTCTCACTAAAAACTGATGCTTGCACGCGTAAAGAAACTTCTGAATTTATCGCGAAACAAATGATTGCCGCGAATCTACTTGAATACGAAGAAAAAGATAAGATATAGATTGATACATAGTTTTTTATGGTAATTATACTTACGGAACCTAATTACGATCAATTTTGATAATGTACTTGATTTTTATATTTTATAAAATCAAAATACTCTCGTGCGTGTGCTTCGTATAGGTTATGAAGACCCGAACGATCATGACTCTGTAAATGCACACAAATAACTGAAGGAAACCCAAAAAGCATGAAGAATTTTGAATTTTCAGGCCAAGACTTCAAAAATTATTTAGTATTCATCAGATACATCATGAAAGATAAACGAGCCAATTAATAGGTCGAAGATAAGCGATAAAGAGATACAGTAAGAATGACTATTATGGTAAGACGATTAGTAAAGGATTACATATGATTAAATTGTTTTCATCGTAATACATTTAAAGTATGTTCTTGAAGCATTTGATAGGGAAATATGAAAAGTTAATACAGATAAGCTCGATGAAAGTATATATTTTACGGAATTTCAAAAAGTTTCATGACGCAAGTGAATTTTTTTTAAAGAAATTAATTTTTTTCTGTAGAATTTCAGTGAAAAGTTACTAAAATTATAAAATGTCTCAAAAATTCCTATTCATACTCTAACGTCTTTATTTTATTAATCCGATACCTCGATGCATATCCATGGGCAGGATGTTTATTTTACCCATTCAGATGGCCCTGAACACGAGTAAGTGGTCAAAAAATATATTTTTTTAATATTTGTTTTAGTTCAAACTTTTTCGGGCAAAAGAAAAGAATAACAGCGAATAACAGGTGCTGATATTTTGCAATAATTTCTTATATCCGTGTACACAGAGAGAGAGAAGAGAAGCTATAAAGCGTCGCGAGCGAGCGAGAATTTCATTGTGCAGCTGGCTCCATTGGGTGAATGGGTTGACTTTGCGTGCAGCAACACACAACTCTCGGTTTCAATGGCTCTCGAAGAGGTCCTCTATTGTTTTGAACGCACACACATATTCGCTCGCTCGAGACTCGCGGGAAAAAAGACGTCAGAGAGATAGAGGTATTGTTGCACACGCTTAAGCGTGAATAGGCACTATTGCCTGCGTTGCTGTGCTCTGTGGCACGCGCATTGATCGCGAGCGTTGTGTGCGTTGTACGTGTGCTGCGCGCTTGAATGAAGAAGAGAATCCCTTCAGGGACAATGCTAATAGATTGTTTTTGAATTTCGACTGATTTCTAGAAGAGGAAATAGGTGGATCTCTCTCTGCTGGCTCAATTATCTACTTCCTTCTCCGACCGCTGATGGAGGGGAGGGGTGACAATTTTTAGTAATCTTTTTCTTATTTCTCCTTTCGTGTGGTTTTTCTGTTTGTCTAATTCAGCTATATCCATAATTTAGGGTAAACTTTATTATTCTGTGGTTTGACTATTCATCCACTATATTACGTTTACTTTGTGTGGTGATGACTTCCGATGCGAGTATTATCTACCACTTCGAAAAAGGTATGACATACGAATTATTCTTGTTCAACATACACTTTTGATTTTTTGTTTTCATAATTTTTAGCAAAAGATTTCCATTGTTGAAAAAATATACGAGAACGATTTGATGATTCTTTATTCAGTGAAGGTAAAATTTGTTGTTATTATTTACTAACCTTTTGTGTCGAAAGTATTTGAAGAATATCAAAATACAATTTTTTTTTCAGAAAACTTCATATTTATTCGAAAAATCGCAGGGAAACCATACAATTTTGAATCAACAGATTTTGCCTTATATTTCTGATTATTATACATAGTGCGAAGTATCTAATTAGTGTGACCCTTGAAAGATCACATTATAACAACAATACAAGTATTTGCCGATCATATAAAATTATCGTGGCGCTACAACATGACACGTGCTTCGAAGAGAAAAAAACTCGGAATTCAAGCAAAAAGGAACTATTTCACATAAAAGTACTGGCACACCGTGGCTAATTTTCTTAAGTATCCCTTTATAAAGAGTGATCTAAGCAGATACATAAGCGATGGAATAAAAATATTGATCCCCTAGATGATGGTGGCTCGCGAAACCTTCAATTGGTACCGTTACCCGTAGTTTTTGTAACACAGACGAGCACCGATTTTTGAGTAGGTTTTCTTGGAGAGTGACTATTAAAAGGACAATCTTTTCGTAATTTACTTAAGCCGGTTAAATTATCATAATTATGGGTGTTCAATGTCAAATTAAATAGCGAGAGCCCTCTTTTTAGTGAGAAAAAGGGGGAAATCATTACACAATTTTATTCCGAGTATCGTGGAATTTTATTTTTCAAATTATGCCCAAAAATTGAGTCGGCAAGTGCACCTCTTCATAGATTCATTTTGTTCAAGTTTCAATAAATAGGCAACCAAATGCACACTACGGTCGAGTAATTTTTTATTACATTAGTTTTTTTTGTTGACTTGAGCAAACGTTCAAGTCATCTGTCTCTCGTTCCGCATACAAGTTATTATCACCAAGTCAAATGGTTTAACACATGCGCCGAGTCCATTAACAATCCGCACACACACAGTAGGCGTTCTTTATGACATATTGCAGGATAAAGAACGTCACCCCACAGCCAGCATTAGACATCTAATTAAACCTATATCTGGTTTAAGCCTTTTACCCAAAGAGAAAAAAACCAATATGTATTCTAGTTGACAAAAAATGAAAGCCTCGCATGTGTGCAGGTACAGCTCTCTAATGCATGGCGGAGGGAGAAAAAAAGAAGAATCGCACCCTTCTTCCGGCCCTCGCGTCAAAACGTTATGATGATGAGCCTAAGCGTCTCCGGCAGAGACTATGAATCGAGTTGTAAATAGATACCTGAGAGAGAGAGAGAGAGAGAGGCACATGAAAAAGTGCGCCACCGGATTTACGAGGCACGCCATGAAAAGACGACTTATTATATGCGGATTTGGATAGCTCGTTCGCAAGTGCTTCTGGAGTTTTTGGCGCTCTCGTCGTGTGTGCTTGTGTCTTAAGCGCGAGCGCGCGGGCTGCATTTTTTCTTTGAACTCGCGCGAAGGCAGGCAAGCAGCTCCGCACGCAGGATTTTACGGTTATTTTCGGTGACGCTGTTTTTATGACAAAATAGGTGGAACTTCGTGGATCGTTTGGAACTCTATGAGGCCGACGCAGTCTGTGGATCATTAGAATTTCACCACCCGGAATGACTGAAAGAGGATAAATGAGCTAGGCACTTAAAACTTTTTGATGCCTGTTACTAGTGAAAGGGGGAGCGCGAGTGATATTTTCAGGCTAAATTTATCGGGCTTGGCTTTTTTCTACCGTGGTTTATGTTCGAGAGTGTTGGAAGTTCATTAGTTCGTGTCTTTTATACAGTTAGATTAGAAAACTTGAATAATAAAAATTATTATTCAGTTGAAGATTTAATTCAAATTTTGGGTTGTTGCACGTCAGTTCCAGAATTTGAATGAGACTCATTGAATATGCTAAATCGAGCGATGCTCGCAGATAACTTTTTATTCATACAATTTTACAATGATTTTGTGTAGAGTAAAATCCAACCGTCAGACAGATGCATCTGTACAATTAGTTTTATTCGATTATTAATGAAACTTTGAGAATGATTTGCATTTTCATTCTTCTATAAAATTTTCCCCCATGCCAACTATTTTTATTTTGAATTTGAGAATTTTATTTTATTAAATGCATTAATCATACGAATGAAGAAAGTCGTTCATACGCACATATCAATAGCCCTACGCCGTAAAATTATTACAAAATTTTATTTTACTATGAAGTAAATATATCGTGAACGTACCCACCCGATAAACATAATTTCAATAAAATTTGCATATCATTGAAAGCTTTTATGCTTATGCTCAGAATACACTGAAACCCCTTTTCTATCTTGCCGAATAAAAGAGAAACCGTTAATGCTACGCTTATACTTATTTTACTATTGCATATGACTCACCAAAATATGTAAAGGATTAAAACCGAGAATACGATGAGAGGAAGAACGCTTGACAGTTATTGTGTTAATGATATCTAGCCCTACCATGCATAATATCATTTTTTTTCTTCAATACCGTTCGATTATAGCAACGTCATGCAAAATCAGAAACTACTTACAAATGGCAACGAAGGTATTTTAATATTAAATTGGCAAAAGTATAGCCAAACTTCGAGGTCTAATGACCGTTTAAAAGTTTATTAGCGAGTATAAATAATTTTAGCAAAAATTTTCGTAGTTAAATTTTTTTCAACAATACTGCAAATGTTGAACCGATGAGTGCTATTACTGATACTGTAAAATACAGTGATCAAAGAATTTTTTGTGCATAAAACTAATACGACAAGAGCAAAATTAGGTTTTTAGCCAAGTCCACCTGCTCCAAAAAGTGCAGTGGACCATGTACTGCATAAAACATAACTCACAAAGTGACTTTTGATTTTAGCATAGAAAATAAGCGCGCACAGCCGCTTATGCTTCAACTTAAATACTACCTGATTACAGTGCAAACGCAATTTGTGTCGCATAAATAAGCGATGAATAACAATCATTTGGCTCAATTAAATCTACAATTTATATATTGTTCGGCTGCGCGTGTGCTGCTGCAGGTATATAAGGTAGCACTTTCGCCCGCTTGCTGGACCGATTTAACGTTATTAAAACTTTGATGCACAACGAGACATCTGCACTCCGGGCTATATGCGCTACGATTTGCATTTCAAAATGTTACCCAAGCGTAATTCGGAATTCGTCCTTAATAGCTCTTGACTTCCGAGCGCTATTTAGAAGGCTGCACGGGGCAATTTGAGGCAAAGTCTCTCTTGGAGAAAAGAAAAATTCCGAAAGGTTTTGAAAAAAAGAGCTCCCCTACGAGCTACCGCAAAGTCGTTTGAGCGAGGCTAA